AGGGAACGCTATTATTATTATACATTAAAAAATAAAAATCATTGAAAATGTGATCATTTTACCTTACCAACAAAATTGGGGTTTTCAAACCGGAAGAAATGTCTCTCGACAATCGGCGAGATAGGAAGAAGGCCAACGGAGAGTAGATAGAGAAGGTGAGGGGAATAGAGGTTCTGCGTCTCTTTGATTGCCGTCTTGCCACCGCACGATTGAGTAGTACCTTTTCCGGCACTGTTCAATTGGGTTTTTGGGTGAACGGCAAGCCCCAAGGAAACGCAAAACTCATATCCAAACATCACAAGAGGCACCTTTCTCTTTCGTTCCTCTTGTCATTAATTGTCTCTACCACACACACCACTAACCTCATAGTCCAATCTTCTCATAACCACAGCCACAACCCTGAAGCTTCCTCCTGCTTCACTCCTCTCTTATCTATATATATATCTTTCCCGTTCCCTTCCTTTCTCCCCACCCACAAATCTCGAGAAAGCAAGTTCCTTTTTTTCTTTTTTTGAAATTGATTGTGTTTTTGGGGTGTTTTCAGGGTTTCTTGGTGCATTTCGCTTCTGGGTTTTTGTGGGGGTAATACCCAGGATAGACACGTTGTAGACATCACGGCTATACACAGAGTTTCTCGGCTTCTCACACATGTCCGGGCTGTACGACGCAAGGGTTGTGTGATCGAGAGCAACCCTTCGCCGCACGGCGGGCGTGGTGCCTTGCCTTCTGAAGGAGGCAGCCCTTCCGATCTCCTCTTTCTCGCTGGTGGCGGTTTCTTTTCCTTCTCCGTTTGCTTTTAGGTTTAATAGGGTCTTTGTATAAGCTATATAAAAGAATTGTTATAGAAAAGTTTAGATCTGTGTTGAGAATATACAAAACTTCCTAAGAAAAAGAGGGAAAAGGTTGTTGTTGTTGTTATTGTTGTTCAGCTAGTGGGTTCTTGGTGAGTTGTTTGAATTGTTGTTGAAAGAAATTAGCAAAATGATGCTTAAAATCAAGAGGGTGCCCACTGTTGTTTCGAATTACCAGAAAGAGGAGGCGGAAGGGAGCACTCGCCGGAATGATGGATGTGGCAAGAATTGCCTCCGGGAGTGTTGCATTCAAGGTATTTGTTGAATTGCTTTGGTTATACATACTTGCATTTTAATATCTGCTTCATGTTTTGGGGCTAATTTTGAGGTTAATTTCTTGTTTATAGGAGCGAAACTTCCTTTATATGCCTTCAAGAGGGTGAATAATATTGGAAGTGGTATGAATGTGCTTGAAAATGAGAACAAGGAGCCTCCAGTTGCTTTTCTTGACTCACTCCTTCTTGGGGAGGTAAATATTGCTGTTGTCATTTAATAATCAAGAATATTGTAATTCTTGTTCTCTTTTTTATTTTCCTTCTGCAATTGTGAATTTAAATTGTTTACCCTTTGATGATAGTGGGAGGATCGCATGCAAAGAGGACTCTTTCGCTATGATGTAACTGCCTGTGAGACCAAGGTCTATATCTGTTCGTTTTCCTGTACCTATTGTATGCAATTTAGGGTGTCTTTACACCTTACCATATAAAATGTCACATCTTGGTTTAGGTGATTCCTGGTGAATATGGCTTTATTGCCCAGCTGAATGAGGGGCGTCACCTTAAGAAGAGGCCAACTGAGTTCCGTGTTGATAAGGTTCTCCAACCTTTTGATGGGAACAAATTCAACTTCACTAAAGTTGGACAAGAAGAGGTGCTCTTCCAGTTTGAAGCAAGTGAAGATGGTGAAGCTCAGTTCTTCCCGGATGCTCCCATTGACACTGAGAATTCTCCAAGTGTGGTTGCCATCAATGTAAGTTTTCTACACTTATTTAGGATTTAAGATAGCTTGTTGTGCTAGAGAGATAAGTCATGAAAAATACTGAGATTTGATATGATTGTGTACAATTTAATAGGTCAGTCCTATTGAATATGGACATGTATTGTTGATCCCTCGAGTTCTGGAGTGCTTGCCCCAGAGGATCGACCATGAGAGCTTCTTACTTGCTCTTTACATGGCAGCTGAGGCTGGGAATCCATACTTCAGATTGGGCTACAATAGCTTGGGTGCATTTGCTACAATCAACCACCTGCACTTCCAGGTATTTTACCCTCAGTTTCCTACTCCTCAAACCAATTTTCAATGAGAATTTTTTTACAATCTGTCAAAGAGAAGTCAATATAACCTTTACAATGGCTGCAGGCCTATTATTTGGGAGTGCCCTTTCCTATAGAGAAAGCTGCCACCAAGAAGATAACCACTTTGAAAGATGGGGTGGTGATCTCTGAGCTTTTGAACTATCCAGTCAGGGGTCTCGTCTTTGAGGGTGGTAATACTGTGCAAGACTTTGCCAATACTGTCTCTGATGCGTGCATCTGCCTTCAAGAGAACAACATACCCTACAATGTGCTCATCTCTGATTGTGGAAAGCGGATCTTTCTCGTACCACAGGTATTTAATTAGAGAAATAGTTGAGGTTTCCTCATTTTCTTCATGATGTTACAATTTCTTACCAATGGCATTTCAATTTGTCAACTGAACAGTGCTATGCTGAGAAACAAGCTCTTGGGGAAGTGAGCCTGGAGCTTCTGGACACTCAGGTGAATCCAGCTGTGTGGGAAATTAGTGGCCATATGGTTTTGAAAAGGAAAAAGGACTATGTAGAGGCATCTGAGGAAAATGCTTGGAGGCTCCTCGCAGAGGTTTCTCTTTCTGATGAGAGGTTCCGGGAAGTGAATGCACTAATATTTGAAGCAATTTCTTGTGGTAACAATGATGATGTTATTCAGCACCTGCCTGAAGAGCCTGATGTTGAAGCTCAATCTCCAGAGGAAGTAGATGCCATCAACAGAAGCTCCCACCAATCCGTGGTGGCTGGGGCACCTGAATGCCTTGTTCTGCAGTAACAATGCATTTGATGGATGTGGAAACCACAGTGAGATTCTGGTTGTGTGTCTAGTAGCATTGATGTCTGGTATTTGCTATTGTTGAACATTATTATGCCGGTAGGCTAAATAAGCAAACTGAGTTTGCATTGCTGTGATGCGTCTGTGTACTCTATTACTCTTTATATTGGCGTGTCAGTTATGGGATTGTGTAAAATAACATGAATTGTTGTTGGCTGTTAAGCCTCTTATTAGTTTATATGATTGCATATTATGTCTAAAACTCTGTTTTGGTAAAAAAGAAACTATGGAGTACTTTTTATGTTCATAACAATCAAAAAATGAGGTACAAATAAGGATAAGGATGTTAATTTTTAATTTTTTTTTATTGAAATGTATTAATTTTTAATATTTTGATTAAAAAAATGAATGTCACATGAATCACTATTTAATTGATTTGTAAATAAAAAAGTTAAAAATTAATTTTTTTAAATAAATTAATTTGAAAATTAATATTTTTATTGAAAAATAAATAAAATTAATATTTTTAAATAAAAAATAATACAAAATTAACATCTTATTTACACCCTTTTAAACCCACCATAACTTTCCCATTTCAGCTAGGATTGGAGATATAAGAGGTGAGAAAATTTTGAAGGATAAGGATCTGAACCCCAAGCAATAAATGGGCTTAGGCCCAAATTCTGCCCTTGGGCCATTGCATAATAGCATAACCTCAAGTTGAGAACGGGATAGATGTGTATAAGATACAGTAAAAGGACAGTGGAACACATTTTACTGAAGCA